CTAAATTTATGAATCCACTTTCTAAAGTGGCACTGTCTGGCCTTTCAGAGGTTCTGGGTTGTAGCTCATTTTTTCTTGCCCCTGCCACACGATGTGTCCACGGGCACACCTCCTTTGAAGTGGTGACCCTCCCTCAACTTAAAGCCAGCATCAGAGAAGAGCGCAGTCCCAGTGCCATGGTATTAATGACAGCCTCTGTCTTGACACTTTCTCTCCATTCTTTCTTTGACTTCTCCCTGGAGGTCTCGGCTGCTGGACTCTTGCCCTGCCTCCTGCTCAGGCCTTGCATACACTCCCTGATTCTGACGGGTCTCTTTGACTCTCCTCCTTGAGAATGCAGACACGTGCTCCATCCCAGCTGTCTCCTGCCATGCCAAGAGTCTCCCCAGCCCTGCTCAGGCTCTATCCCAGAATTTCTTGAACTTGGGTTTGGCTGGCCTGCGAACTTTGTGCCCAGAGGCCAGGCGCAACCTTCTTGGGAGCGGGAGCCAGAGTCTTGACAGAGCTGGAGACTGTGACTGGGCACATGACCCAGATGGTCCTCACTGTTACAAGCACGGCGAGTTCTGAAAATGTCTCTCCTTTCAGCGTCCCTCATCTGTACTCCCGCCTGGCCTGGTTTGCTTCTGGCCCCTGGAGAAGGGTGGTTTTTGATGAGGCTAAACTCTCTGAGAAGCAGCTGGAAGTGTGGAGGAGAAGTAGAAACAGCCCAAGGAAGACCCTTAACGAGATGGAATGACACCCCGGCTCCAGCAATGGGCTCAAACATAGGAACGGTTGTGAGGATGGTGCAGGACTGAGCAGTGTTTTGTTCTGTCGAACTTGAGACTGAACCAACCAGGAAGGCACCTGTCAGCAACAGGAGGAAGAGGTGAGGGGGGTGGGGGGCCCTGTCCACGGTGCTGAACGGCAGTCCCAGAAATAATTTCCTGCCAGGCGTCTGCTCTAGTTTCAGCACTTAGTCAACTGTGAGGAATCCAGAGGATGTAGAGAATCCAATTCCTTCCATAAAAGGGTCTTTTAATACAAGCTGTAGACAATAAAACACCCATCGTGAGAACAAATAGGGATAATCTTAAACCACCCCAAATAATGCTGGCTCTCTGAAACTGCATGAGGAGGGTGCAGGGAGGGTTCGGGATGTCTATAAAGGAATTCCTGAGGCAAGCCTGGTGGAACTGTCAGGTAAGAGTTTAACTACTAACTGCCAAGTTAGAGGTTCAAATCCACTAGCTGCTCCTTGGGAGAAAGATGAGGCTATTTCCATAAAGGTTTATAGTCTCAGAAACCCTTCTTTGGGTTGCTATGAGTTGGAATCTACTTGATGGCAGTGAGTTTTTGCTTTGAGTGGCAAATGTCATGTTGGGGTCTAGGCACTTCGAAGGATAACCCACTTTGTAATGACATTTTCTTTTATCTAGTCAATGTTTCCTGGAGTATTTAAAACCTAAAGCTCTTTGGTATAAAGCTGGTTGATGCAACTGCAGCAGCACAGCTGTTTAAATTTAGATGCTAATGCTATGTTTGAAATGTAAGCATGCGATTGGCTCTTAGCTGTATCTTAAAAAAGGATTGATGAGTAAATTTTGCCTGGGTGCCCCAGCCCCAGCCCTAGCCCATATGGCATAGTCTCTCAACCTCTGGTGTTCATAGTCACACCCAGCTGACCCTGACGTCAGGAGATCCCAGAGACTGCTCTCCAGGGCAGCCTGAGGGCCAAGAATATGTGCTCAGCAGGGTCTCTAGTAGGAGTGCTATACCTTCCCCCCCGACCCCAGTCCCTTCTCTGTCTTCAGCATTCTGCAGATCTGAGCCAGTAGGGCCAATGCCTATCTCCCCCTTCACCAACCACAGCCTGTGCTCTCCTGCTTTGTACAAGTCTGAACGCTCCTCTTCAGCTAAGAAGCAGCCCCTTCCTTCCCCTCAGGAAGCACAGGAGGAGGCACCTGCATATCCATTTACCCAGACTCTATCTTTGCCGAGGTCCCCTCATTTGCAGAGGAAAGGAACTGCTTCTGCTCTGTCTTTGAAATCGGATACATTAATATTTCATCAGAGCGATTCACTGATCCTTGATTAATTAGCTATCTGGGAGGTAGATGATAGGTCTTTGGACCTCAGTTTCTCCTTGAAAGCAACCGGAGTTGACTGAATGACCACTTTGGGCTCTTGCTGATGCATGGTGACTGTCTTTGAATCAGAACACATTGGTTGGCTCCTTACTGAGTTTGGACCTAAGTGCTCTCCATCCATCCCCACAGGCCCTGAAGTCTGAATTCCCTGAGAGCAAGTATCCAACACATCTCTATTCTACACATTCTCTGTTCTCACTAGAGACAGTTACGCTCAATTCCGTTGAGTTTTCTACCAATAGAGCTGACAAGACAATTGTTGTTGTTAGATGCCATCAAGCCATTTTCAACCCACCATGGCCCTGTGCACAACAGAATGAAACACTTCCCGGTCCTGCGCCAGCCTCATAATTGTTCCTATACTTGAACTCATTGTTGCAAGACAAGCAACAACAATATGAGACAATAGGAGACCCTTGAGAAGCCCTTCACTCATCTCTCCTGCGACCTACACCAGAGCCAGCCTTAGCTAGCAAAGTCTTCCTTTAATTTCCATTAAACGGCAACAGAAAAATCAGAGGGCATGACCATCCACCAAGGCTCAACACCCCAGGAAAAGAAAGATAGAGGGAAGAAGAAATAGATAGTGACTCCTCCAGGCAAGTCTCCACTCTCAAGGATCCAAGCACGGTAATACCACGAGGAGAGAGATGGTGTGGGGATGAGACCTAGTCCCCAATTTAAGTGTGTGATAAAGATTCCTCAAGAAGATTTTTCAGAGAAGGCTTTAGAAGAGGCATTGAATCAGGATTTGGATAGAGATGGGGAGAATAATACGTCACAAGGACAGAGGCAGTCATTGGCAGCTGTGGATGTGTTTGGGGAGCAGGAGAGCTCCTGTGGGTCCTTGTAGGCTAGAAGAAAAGAGGTGACATGGGTTGAGTGACATGCAGGACTGTGGGGGTGGGCAGATGACAAGGGCCTGGCATGCTGGAACCTAGGTTTGCTGCAAGAGGAACAAGAGAGATGTTGATCCTGATGCTGGGTTTCTGTGGATTGGAGTTTTCCCCTGGAACTCTCAGATTTGGGGGGAATTTAGGGTTCTGACATAAACTGGTGTGAATGTCTGAGCAGATGCAGATGTTCCAAAGTCACACTGACACAAACCATCTGTTTCATTCTGGTTTGGTTCCAATTAAGTTTAATGTGGGGAAGAGAAGTGTCATGGATTGAACTATGTCCTCCTAAAATAAAACAAGCATCGACTTAACATGCAATGCTTCTCAGGGGTTTGGTGGCTATGCCTGATGCATGATGTATTGATGTAATCATCCTCCATTATATGACCCCACACGGCCAGCCAATCCCTTATAAGGGGATTGGCGGTGAGGGGGGACGGTGATGAAACACCTTTACTCAGGCCACAAGTCAGATCTGACCTAAGGGCGATTTTTCCATTGCCTCCTATCTTACAAGAGATCAAAGGAGAGAGAAGCAAGCAGAGAGGGAGGGATCTCAGAACCTCCAAGAAAGATGAGCAGGGAGTGGAATGCAGCCATTGGACCCAGGGCAGGGGCCCTGTGCTGAGAACCTCCTAGACCTAGAGGAAGATTGATGTCAGGACACACGGAGATCTCCACTGGAGGTGTCTCACAGATGTGGAAAAGAGCTAAGACCTCCCCCTCAGAGCCAACACAGAGAGAAAGATTACCCCCAGAGGCTGGCACCCTGAATTTGGATTTCGCACCCACTGAACTGTGAAAGGAAAAATTTCTGTTTGTTAAAGCCATCCACTTGTGGGTTTCTGTTATAGCAACACTAGATAACTAAGACAAGTATTAATTCAATGTTTATTAGTAGTTGCTAATTAGCTCCAATTCAAGCCAGGCCTCAGGGACTTCCTGTCAGCCTGTGTAAAATCACTCCTCTGCCAGGAGAAAGGAGAATGGGTCTTTAATGTTTGGTAAATATTAGGTTGGGGAAAAGATAAATTGATTTCCCCCCCTCTCCAGTCCATCAATTTTGTTATTCTCAATTGCTGTCCCAACAGACTCCTCATTCCCCATACGTCCCTGAACATTCTGTCACATCTGGGGTGGCCAAGGACAGGAGAGAAAATACTGGCTGGGGAGCAGATCCAGGGGAGTCTGGAGCCCTTCTTAGAGCTGTGGAGGGAAGTCCAGTCTCATCTGAAGGGGCAGCAGGGCTGCACCAATCACTCAAATTAATCATCGCTCATCTCTTGAGCCCAGCGCCAGTTGCCACCCATCTTCCAAGACGTTATAGTTGCTTAAGCAGAGATGGAAAAACCTTCCATCTCAGGGGCTCCTTGGGAAGATCTCCCTTCCAGCTCTGCCCCCCTCACTCCTTGCTCTGCTCCTTCACCATGCTCTGCCCCTCCAAGGCCCCTCTGCACCAAGGGCCAGTCTTGGGAGCTGCAGGGAAGGCGGGGAAAGCGAGCTGGGCCTGTTGACAGGAGTGAGTCACAGTGAGTGGGAGCAGATGACAAAGAATGTGACTCAGTGAGGAGAATACAATGTGGGTGAGGCAAAGAGTAGACACCTCTTTACCTGTTGAAGAAATGATGGGAAATCAGAGACTTAGAGCCAACCCGCTGCTACCCACTGGTTCTCAGACCTCCCTCGGGGTCACCAGAGCATAGGCTTGGTCAGGGTCATGACCATACTCCCTCTGTATTCTTTGGACCTTTGGAGTATGTTTTGCCCGAGTCCCTTTAGCCCCTCTTAGCCAGTGAAACGAGTGACCGGAAGCTTTTCAATGCTTCTTAAAAATCCCCAAATCCTTCCTGCACCCGTTTTCATTTCTGTGACAGGATTCCCAGTTGGTGCATTTAAAGCTGAGGGCTGATTAACTGCACATTATCTGGCCTCTGGGACCCCTCCATTTAGGACCCGAGAAACTACCACGATGAGTCTCTGGGTGCCCAAGCTGTTGCCAGATCACCTCACTCGCCGTCTGCCAGGAAAGTGGCTCAAATGCCTGATTGCCTCTGCTGCACTCAAGTGGCCCGGCCGGCGCCCTCCCCAGCCCGCGGCTTCTCCGCGTCTCTGTGTCCCCTTTCCCAGGTCTCCAGCGAATCCTGCCGCCAGGGAGCCTGATTTACCGAGTTTTGCTCGAGTTGCGAGATGCTAATGGATCCCTGGGGACGGCGGGCGGGCGGGGCGGAAGCTGGGAGCCGAAGGCGGGCTGCGCTGACTCCCACCCCTGCGAGCGAGTGCTCAGCGCTGCGGCCTGCGGCACCTGCGCCACAGCGGCCGGATCAAGGTCATGGCTACCTTCCCAGGACCTGGACCAGCCGCCTCCGGGCTCTGCCCCACTGCCCTGCAGGCGGCTCCGACGGTCTCCCTGGAGCGTCGGGGAAGGGGGTCCTGGCCTTGGGCCCAAGCCGGCGCTGGTTTCCGAGTTCGAACGTCCAGGCTGCGGCCTAGGGTGCTCCATTCTGCTCAACCTGAACCAGAGGAAGAAGGAAAGTTCGCTCCAAACTCATGCAATGGCGGCAATGCTGGCTCCTATTGACCCTACAGGGCGGGGTTGAACTGCCCCTGTGGTTTTCCCAGGCTGGAAATCTTTATGGGAGCAGAAAGCCTCATTGTTCTCTCCCGGAGTGGCTGATGGGTTCGAACTGCTGACTTTGCAGTTAGCAGTCCATGCCAGCTAGCCTACTAAGTCAACAAGGCTCCCAGAACGAAGACCAGAAATCCTAATTTAGGTTCTGGGACTGAGGGGAGCTCATCAAATATCATCTCATTCATTCCTTACCTCCTGACAGCCTTGTGGTGTCCACACCCCCACCCAGCTGGCTCACAGATCAACACAGAGAGGTAGAGCAGATGGCTCAGAGTCACACAGCACCTGGCCCATTACTCCTCCCTGATCTCAGAGTCAGGGACCTGAGCCAGGGCGAGGAGAGCCAGAAATGGCAACCCCGTTTGTGGCAGTTACATAATTTCCCGTCAACTTGAGCGAAGGGGTGGAGTCTAGCTTGTCAATCAGATTGCAGCTTGATGACCTCATTTGGAGGCGCCGAGGAGATAAATGGCTCACTGGAGGCCAGACCCACTCTCTGCCTTCCCTTTCCTGCTGTTGAGACACTCAGAGCTGCAGAAGACACGTGGAGACCCACACCAGCATTGAGATGCTTCCACCACCACTGGATCCACAAGACCTTCTACCCACTGGCCTGTGATCTTCCTACATTCAACATGACTTCAAGTGCTGTGTGAGTCTAAAGAGGAATTTATGGACTAGTATCGGACACATGGGCTAATATCGGACTTATGGACTTGATCTGGCCTGGCCTGCGATGTTTTCTCAATGTACAATTGCTCTTTTATATAAAGCTCTTTCTTATACACACATGAGTATCTATGAATTTGTTTCTCTAGTCAACCCAGACTAACACATCATTTATAGGTGAACAAAAGAGGGTTCTGTTCCTCCCTCACCTTACCTGGGTAGGTAAAGACCCCCACCTGCCGCAGCCTTGCTGCATTGTCTGTGAGCCCAGCTGGCACGGTGACTGTTCTGGGCGAGAAGGCTGTCTCTTCCTCCCCTTCCAGCCGAAATCCATAATGTATGAACCACAGCTTCAGCCAGACCAGAGAGAGACTTTTTAAAATGCTTCTTAAAAAATCCAATATTAGCAAGTCTTCTAGAAAGTGAAAATATTTGAATTAGGGGAAGTGAATGCTTTATGAGCTGACAGGGGCATAATCTCCCGAGATGGGAGTCTGCACTGGGGCAGGTGCGACTGTCCTGGGCTGAGGGCCCAAACCTGTGGACACTGTAGCTCAAAAGAGACACCTGATGGACCATGGGTGCAGAATAGGGCTCTGAAAAGGGCCCAAAGGAGCTCCCCCTTGAGTCCTGTTAACCACTGGCCATGTGTGTCCAGTTCTCCCCTGGATTTCAACTCTGACCTCTTGGTATCTGCTCCCCACCAATGGTCCTCCCTGCTTTCCTCCCAGGTGACTGGAGGCAGGGCCACCCTCGGTGGTAGACTATATCAGAATAGTCCCTTTCCCCTCTAGGCTGTGGTGTGGAGCATACTTCCCTCCCCCACTGCTTTTGGGCTTGATCATGAGGTTGGCTTTGGCAATGAGATGGATTTGCCCGAGGTTGTATCCAAACAGAAGCCTTACATGCGCTTGCACTGATGTCTTGGTCTCCCAGGCTCCAGCCCTGTGCCTTGGGAAGGATATGCCTGAAGTCATCACTGTTCTTGCAACCTGGTCCCTGGATGAGAGACATGTCAGAGAACGGAGTCCTGGCCATGGCTGGGAGCAGAGCCACCACAGTCAACCTGTAGACACATAAGCTCATTGTTCTAAAATGCTGAAGCTGCTTGTAATACAGCGTGCTCACAGAGAAGTCAACTCGTCCATCCTCCTTCCCCGATTGCCACCCAGCCTTGCTCCCACTGGGGAGGGCAGAGCCAACACCCCTCAGCTTTTGTTCTGTTCTAAAAACTGGCATCAAGCATCAAGCCATGCCACCCCCTCAAGAGTTGGTGATTGTGTTTGGGTAGCTTTGGCTGGGGCTAGTGGCATAGTATGTTACCCACTAGACTGCTAACCATGAGGTCAGCAGTTCAAAACTACCGGCCACTGCTCAGGAGAGAGATGGGGCTTTCTCCTCCTGTAATGAGGAGCCCTGGTGGCACAGTGGTTCTGCTTGGGACCGCTCATCACAAGTTCAGCAGTTTGAAACCACTAACCGCTTGGAGTGAGAAAGCCGAGGGGCTTTTGTGGTAGTCTGGGTTGACTAGAGAAACAAATCCGGAGGCACTCATGTGTGTAAGAGAGAGTTTTATATCAAAGAGTAATTAATTGTACATTAAGAAAATATCCTAGCCCAGTCCAGATCAAGTTCATAAGTCCGATATTAGCCCATATGTCTGATACCAACTTATAAATTCCTCTTTGGACTCACGCAACACATGCAATAATGCAGAATATAGGAAGATCACAGGCCAGTGGTGGGAAATCTTGGGGATCCAGTGGCAGTGGAAGCATTTCAGTGCTGGCAGGGGTCTTCCCGTGGGTCCTCCAGCTCCAAGGTACTAGCTTAGCTCCATGTGTCTTGTCAACAGGAATGTCTCCTGGGGAGTGAGCATGTGTTCTGCCTCCAGTGAGCTATTTATCTCCTTAGTGCCTCCAAATGAGGTCATCAAGCTGCGACCTGATTGACAGGCTAAACTCCACCCCTTCACTCTTAATAGTCTCAAAGTGACAACAGATTATCTAACTACCACAGCTTTTTACTCCCATAAAGAGTTACAGTCTTGGAAACACACAGGGGCAGTTCTACCCTGTCCTATAGGGTTGCTATGAGTCAGTATGGACTCACTAGCAGGGAGCTTGGTCTGATCTGACCTGCACCGGGGCCGGATGCAGGGGAGGAGCGCAGTGATAAAAAGTGACCCCTTTGAAATGGATCGCATGTTAACACGTATCCACTCTGACAATGGTCTACAAACAGTTGAAAGACCATCCCCACGAACGTAGCAGGTGACCTTGCATGTGGCCATGACTTGACAGTCCCGTGAGTTCGTTGCCATCGGAGGCTCCAAGGCACTGGGGGAAGAGTGTGAATGTGGTTGTCAAGACAGACTTGTCAACAAGCCACTTAACCTCTCTTTTTTCTCAGTTTCCTCATCGGTCACACAGTGATGAACGAGCCGAAGCGGCAGGGTTTTCATCAGGACGAATGTGAGGGCGAGGCTGGCACAGCGATGGCCCGGACGGAAGGCGTTTGTTTCATCTGAGCTTGGTTTCTCCTTTTCTCTGCCACTTGCTGAGCCCGGTGACCTCAGGTGGGTATTAGAGTGGACGCTGGCCTCAGTTTATTCATCCAGAGACTGGAGACACGTGTGTGTGTGTGTGTGTGTGTGTGTGTGTGTGTGTGTGAGAGAGAGAGAGGAGAGCGCTCTGAGTGCCCCGGGCACACAGGATACTGGAACAACATCTTCCTCTCCTCTCCACCAGCCTCTCTGATCCTTTTAACGAAGCGCCCCTTCTCCAAGTGGCTTTCCTGAGACCCTTAAACTGCACTCGGGCAAGAGGTCCTTTAGCCGGAAGCTTCTCTCCAGGAACACGGCCATCACGGACAAAAGCCCTGACAGCCGATGTCAGAGGCCTGACTGCACACTCACTTCAGACCCTGCCTCCACGGTTCCACCCCTATCCTGTTCTCCTCTGCCCCACAGTTTGGCACCTTAAGTAGGGAAAGCTTTTACTGCATTGCCACGGGAGCCGGCATAGATTTCTCAGGTGCCTGCCAGTTTCCCACTTGCCTGTGTTATCCCAGGAAAGGGTGGAGCAGCCCACCAACACCTGGAGCTCATCAGGTGGCCAGCCACTCCCTGAAGAGCCCAGATTACCCTTCATAATGAAATTGGAAATAAAATCCCACTGGGAAGGTTCAGGACAAGGCCGGAGGAGAGCTGGGCTGCAGCAGGGATCCCCATCGCTGTCTTAGCACCAAAGTCTAACTTTCACACCCATAATTGGGTCGCTGTGATCTCCTGCATCAGCCTCCTGGGGGCCAGGACCGGTGTGCCCCACCCACGCAGCCCTGCCTGTATCCTCTTGCTCTGAGGACGGTAGTACGTGACGACTATTGTGGCGAGCTAGGATTGGTTCCGCTCCGGTTTGTGTTCGACACAGTGCCTACAGCACACAGGGGTTAAGTGTCCCTAGTTCTGGGTTTGGGTACTGCCTCCGGTGGTGTGGCAGGTGGCGCAACCTCTCAAAGTCTCTGTTTACCCATGAGCCTGATGCGGGTATGACAGTACTGACTGGAGGGCTGGGGTGGGGGCTGAGCTTACGGAGCACCCTGAACAGGGCCTGGCACATTGGAAGAACTCGTATTACGGGTAACAATGAGCTAGCCACTGCTCCCTCCAGGAACCCTATGGGGTAGCTGACCGTATCCCTCTCTTATAGACCAGGAAGCAGAGATTCAAAGAAGTTCAGGAACTTACCCAAGGTCACAGATGCTGGCCCAAGCACCCACCCTGGAGCCCGGTTTGGTAACTGTGACCTTAACCCAAACCCACATCCAGCTCACTGCCTTCAAGTCGATTCCAGCTCATAGTGACCCGAGAGGACGGGGTAGAACTGCCCCTGTGGGTTCTTTATGGGAGCAGAAAGCCTCCTCTTTCTCCTGCAGAACGGTGGTTATTTTTGAACTGCTGGCCTTGGAGCCGGCTGCTCAATTTATAACCACTCTGCCACAGAGTCATAATGTGTCGTGTGAGGCCAGGGTTGGGGCTTCTCAATCCGCCAATAAGCGGTGGTGGTTACTGTTGTTTTAAATTCGTGGTTGTATTTGTTAGAATCAGGACGAAACTGCAAACTTACAAAAAGAGCAGCCATTGGAAAGGGTCCCTTTGGCTCCGACAGGTCGTCCCAGCCCACAGCAGCCACCATTCCGTGCCATTCTTGCCCACGTCCTTCTAGAAACACTCTGTGGATGAGTGCCTGCGTGGGACAACTGTGTCCTCTCTCAGAAAAGAACAAACCCTGCCCAGGCGTTTGCCCCTTGAGTTCATTGCCTCGCGTTATCTTGACGGTCTTGGCAGATCAGGGCCAGCAAGGAGCCACAGTTCGGGACAGCGGCCGGTGTTGGGTTTTTATAGCATTAGCTTAGCCATTGTCACTAGTTGCTTCAAGTTGGCTTCAACTCAAGGCGACCATGTGTGTAAGAGAACAAAACATTGTCCGACCCTGCTCAGTGTCATGTTCCTGCCCTGAACTTGAAGTCACTGCGTGTGCTGGGTGTCTTCCCCCCCAGGACACTCATTTCCTTCATGACAGCAGACACTAGTCTGTTGTGAGCCATAGGGACTTTATCATGCTCCTTTTCTTCCTCGTCTGTCGTCTTCTTGAAGCTCTGCTTCTGTTGAAACCTGTCCACCGCCAGTCCACCTGCTGGCATTTGAAATGTCCATAGAGTCGCTTCTAGCATCTTAACGACGTGCAAGCCACCACAGCACTACGAACGGATAGATGCAGAGAGCCTCCTCTGTCTCCTGCAGGTTGAACCGCCATCCTTGTGGTTAGGTGTCCCGCACTTGCCTGACAGCACCACCAGAACATCCTCTTACTGAAGGGTCTCCGAGGAGACCAGCTAGTATAGCATGGATGAAACATACAACTTTCCTCTAGTTCTTTACTTCCTCCCCCCCCCCACTATCATGATCCCAATTCTACCTGACAAGTCCAGCTAGACCAGAGCATGTACACTGGTACAGATAAGAGCTGGAAACACAGAGAATCCAGGACAGATCAACCCCTCAGGACCAATAACGAGAGTAGTGAGACCAGGAGGGGAAGATCACAAGGATCTACATATAAGCCCCACCCTGGGGGACGGACAACAGAAAAGTGGGTGAAGGGAGACGGTGTAAGACATGAAAAAATTATCAAGGGTTCGTGAAGGAGGGAGGGTGGGAGAGGCGGGGTGGTGGTGGTGGTGGGGGAATGAGAAGCCAATACTGAGGGTTCAGGTAGAAAGAAAATGTTTTGGGAATGATGATGGCAACAAATTTACAAATGTGCTGGACACAATGGATGGATGGATGGATGGATTGTGATAAGCATTGTACCAGCCCCCAATAAAATGATTTTTTAAAAAAGAACTGCCAAAGTCGTTCCAACCTGCAGTGACCCCATGCACAACAGAATGAGAGCCTGCCCAGTTCCGCGCCGTCCTCACAGCTGTTGCTGTTTGAGTCCATTGTCACAGTCACTGTGTCGGTCCATCTCATTGAGGGGCTTCCTCTTTGCTGCTGACGCTCTACTTTATGAAGCATGGTGCCCTGGTCCTTCTTGATGGCATGCCCAAAGTATGTGCCACGAAGCCTTGAACCCTCACTTCTAAGGACCAGCTCAGCTGTACGTCTTCCAGCACGGGTCTGTTGATTCTCCTGACAGTCCAGAGTCCATTCCATACCCTTTACCTACACCGTTCTTTAAAGGCGTCATTTCTTTGGTCTTCCTTATTATTCCTGGTGCAGCTTTCCCATGCATAGGAGGTGACGGAAAATACTATGGCTAGGGTCAGGTGCACCTTAGTGTTCAAAGCCTTTACCATTCATTCATCACTTAGGCTATTTTCCAATCTTGTTTGCTAAGAGATGCTCCCATACAGATGCCTGCAAGGACAGAATTCTTCAGCGCCAGGTTAATTTGTGGGGAACATATCTAGGCACAAAACTGCTAGGTCCAAGGTCACTTGAATGTTTAATTTTGAGAGGGCCAAATTGTCTTCTTTAGAGATTTCACCAAGGTTCACTTTCACCAGCAGTATGCAAAAGTGTGTTATGAATATTTTTTATCTTTACGGATTTGACAGGTAAAAAACAGATATTTCCTTGAAGCTTAATTTGCATTTCTTTTGTGAGTAAAGTTGAGCATCTTTCATTTGCTTAAGAACCACTTGCACTTCCTTCTTTGTGAAGTATGTATTCTTCAGCTTATATCTGTTTATATTCTTTACTTGCTAGCTTTGCATTCGGGTCGTTGGCCTCTTTTTCTTTTCCGAACTAGATTTGGAGCAGTTTTAACCTGTTAAGCAAACCAGCCCTTAGCCGGTCCTCCGGGATATCCACATGTTTGCCCAGGTTATTTTTGCTTATGAGAAAAATGGACTTTTATGTCGTCAAATTTATCAATCTTTTGGAAAAAGGACTTCTAGATTTTTATTCCATATTTCTAAAGCCCTTCTTTTCTCCAAATTATTTTTTGGGAAAAATGTGTCGATGGTTTCCTCTATAAAGAAACTATTGTTGTATTTGAGCTTTATTTTCGTATAAGGTGTGAGACCGGGGTCTAATTCTGCGCTCCAGATGGCAAGGTGATTGTTCTTCGTGCTTTAATAAATAACCCACTGAAACCCAGTTATGTGGAACATAATTTCACCCTACAGAAAATCCCTCTACTTGTTTACTTTCTCGATGTCTTCCTTTCTCATTGATGTGGGTATTTATGATTTTTTAATCACCATGGTTTTATGCTATTTTAAATATCTGGTAGGTCTAATTCCCCTCGCTATCCTTTTTTAGAATGTCACTACAGCACTGCAGAGTCTTGATTTTCCTGTAGAATCTTTAAAGCAAGCGTGGACGAATTGCAAAGACGAAGAACTTTGGAGGCGGGGCGTGGGGGGCCGGGGCTCGGCCAGCCGCTCTGGTCCCGACTTGCCGCTTCCGGCAGGGGGCGCTGCCGCTCTGGTCCGGACTTGCCGCTTCCGGCAGGGGGCGCTGCACAAGGAGGTGGTAGGAGGTGGCTCCGGAGACTCCGAGATTCTCCCTCCAGGTCCCGGGAGACGGGAGAGGGGAGTCGGGGAGGAGGTGGAGGCCAGCGCGGGGCCTGGCCAGGGCCACACGGGCAAGGTCGCGGGAGGCCGGGGAAGGATGGAGACGCAGTGGCCCCAGAATCGGACAGAAACAGAACCCAAGCCCGGAACCGCAGTGGGCCTGGCCAGTCTGCCCAGGGCTCCTGCCTGCAATCGAGGGTCCCTCCCTTCCAGGAAACCATTGCTAAGAGAAGTAAAGCGCTAAGTTCCAGCTGGGTGAAGTTAGAGGGTATCCGTCTCCGGCCTGTGTGGCACAGTCCTGGCATGCCCCCCCCCTCCCCCCGACCAGGACGGCGCTGGGACCTGGTCAGGGAGGGCAGGGGCGCTGTGCAAGCTGAGCTGGCCACACTCCAGGCCTCATCAGGGTCGCAAGATAAGATGACTGAAAAAGAGAATGGGGGCAGGGTCAGCGGGAGCCGCAAGTGGGAGATTCCTGTGTGCCACCAGGCTTCCTTTACTCACACTCCCCCACCCCCCAGGAAGTCCTGCCCAGAAGATGTCCCCAGGAGAGAGCCTCTGCAGACCACTCGCAATGAGCTACAGCAGTGCCCGATTCATAAAAGTAGCAAAATGACAGTGAAGTGGCAAGGAAAATAATGTTATGGTTGGGGGGTCACCACCACACGAGGAACTGTATGAAAGGGTCGTGGCATTAGGAAGGTTGAGAACCACTGCCTGAGAGGCAAGGATGGCAAGACTTCCTCTCACCTATTTTGGACGTGTGGTCGGGAAAGACCAGTCCCGGGTGACGGACATCATGCCTGGGAAAGGAGAGGGGAAGAAGGCGTCAGTGAGACCGAGTGACACTCGGCTGCAGCAACAGAACAACAGAGAGGATGGCACAGCAGTGGGCAGTGTGTCGTTCTGCGGTGCACAGGGTCGCCATGGGTTGGAACTGACTTGATGGCACCTCACAACAACCACCGCCACAAAAACCACCAGCTAGGTTCTTAGATGCCGTGTGCCCAGAGACAGCTTTGTTACTGTGGGAGGAGAGGGGACATAACATTTGCTGAATAACTAGTAACGTCTAGATCTCAGATGCGACGCCAATACCAAAGTTGTTTTCATTTCCTCTAACAGTCTCTTGGCGTGATTATGTTCTTAGCAGCTTCTATTTGTCACTGTCACTTCCTGTTCCTTGGTCTCCCTTCCACTCTCCCTCTCTCTCACCTGGCCCTTCCCCTGTCTTCCACCTCTTTCCTTGCCTGGCACAGACCTTCCCGAAGAAGCAGAGTGGAGTGTCTGGGTTTCATGGGTCAGGCCAAAGACAATGGTGGATGTCCCTGCCTGCTTTTTCTACACTGGCCCCTGACAGCCTCACCTGTACGAAGCCATCCCCTAGTCCAGTCGCCGTTAAGGATGCATTCAGAAGCAGGTAGAATAGAGAACTAGAAAGAAGGACTGGATTGTATGTCCCGGTTCTGCCATCTGCTAGCTGTGGGACCCCAAGCAGGTTTCCTGGCCTTTGGTCGAGTCTCTAGCAAGCAAATGGAACTAAGGCCACGTCGCTGGCATATCTCAAAGAGTTCTTATGGGGCTGAAAGAAGATATCGCTTGGGCATGCAATTTGTATTTTTTCAAGTATTTTTTTTTCTTTAAACAATGTAGACACATTTGATTTTCTGTCCGAATTTCACCATTCCAATATCTGCTCTCCTTACAGGAGGTCTAATCCGGCTGTTTGCTTTACCTGCCGATTTCCACTCAATGAAGTCTCTTTTCTTGAGCGTCCTGTCATTATGGCCTATGAGCTCATGGTCACCGGCGCTTCCTTCATTTGTGGGAATCCTGTGAAACCTGGGTTAAGAGTGTCAACTTCAAAGAGGATTAGCATTAGCGGCCCAAGGTGCTATTATCCTGGTCCCTCTTTAAGTAAATTCCTTGGGGTGGAGTTTAACAAATGTGCATTTAGACCCTAAGCCCCGCAGAGTAGAGGAGGCTTTGATCCCCTGTCTCAGGGAAGATTGCTGTGTTAGGCCGGGTTGACTACAGAAAAGAATCCAGGGACACTCATATATGTATAAGAAAGAGCTTTATATCAAGAAGTAATTATATATCAAGAAGACATCACAGCCCAGTCCAACTCAAGTCCATAAGTCTGATACTAGTCCATAAGTCCAATTCCAGTCCATAAATCCCTCTTCAGACTCATGAAGTCACATGCAACGATGCAGGAAGATCGCAGGCCGGTGGGTGCAAAGTCTTGTGGATCCAATGGCCGTAGACATATCTCCAGGGCTGGAGCAGGCCTCAGCATGGCTCTGCTGCATGAAGGTGAAGGCAGAGAGAGCGGGGAGGTTCCCAGGATCCTCCTTATGAGAAGATCACACCCACAAGGAGGTACCATCAGGCTGTGACCTGATTGACAGGCTAGACTCCACCCCTACATTCCATAGATCAGGCTGACACAAAATTATACAACGACCACCATTGCCTTTCCCCCACTCAGAATCTAGGCTGAAGCATAAGCCTTTCCTTGCAGCCTCTCTTTGCTGAACTAGTCTACTTTGTCGTCCAAATGGAGCTCTTTAAGGATCTAGGCTTTGTGCTGGAATCTCAGGGACAACCTCCCACCTTGCTTAGGAATCCGTGTGGCCTATAACACGCAACACGAGGTGAAGGAGGGAGGTCCATGCTCAGAGGGCAGTGACCCCACAGTGTCATCTTAGCATCCTTGTTTCCTGTTCTCTCTCCATCCGGGAACCTGAGGGTGGCCCTTACTCACTGTGAGCTCAGCGCTTCATTGAGAGGCGCTTGGTCTTTTCTCAAGCATCTCAGGTGCTGGGCAGCGGGAGAGATTTTTCAGGTTCGTCAGCGGCCTCAGAAACCCCACTCTCATTTGCCTCCTTTTTTGGTAACCCCTTCTGTCCCCGTCTTTCCATTTCTCTCTCCTATGCACCTCCCTTATCTGTCTCCCTGGCTCCACTCTCCACACTTAACCAGCCCGCGGCCTGGGAGTCCATTCTGACACAGAGCACCCCTGTAGGACAGAATAGAACTGCCCCCACGGGGTATCTGAAGCGGTAAATCTTGACCAGAGCAGGCAGCCTGGAGGTTTGAACCCCCGACCCTGTGGTTAGCAGCCCCATGCTTAACTCACTGCACCACCAGGGCCCCTTCTCCACACTTAAGCCACAACAAATACTAGACGATCTCACTCAGCTGACAGCGTGGCATGTTCTAAGGGGATCGTTCTGGCCAACTTTCTTCACCACCCACCCCAGCTTCCCTCTGCACCCCTGAGCCTTATCCCATGATCAGCGAACATCCCCGGGTGCCCTGCTCCCCCCCTGCCTATGCATGTGGGTTCCATTTTCCCCACACACCCATCGGGAATCCTCTTGGCTCACCCTGCTCTCTCTCCCGCCCATCACTATTCAACATGGCAAAGTGGGCTCCTCTGGGAGCCAGTTTAGGTCAGAGCTTTTTATAATCTCTTTGGAGCTTATCCGTTTGTGAATCATGGTGAACAGGATGTGTCAGAAAAACACCAACTCTTCATCCACAGAAATTCGAATGTCAGTGCTGGGTGTGCAGTGCTCAAAGCCCTGCACGCTGCCCGGGTCCTGGTCTGTGGGGTCCGGGGATGGATGCAGAGCATCCAGGGATGCAGGGAGCTGGCCAGATTCCCCGTGCTGGAAAGGATGCAGCGACATGAGAAAGTTCAGGAATGCAGAAGCAGGCAAAACTGCTCAAAAGGGAACAGGAGTTGGGGTCCTATTTAGAGTCATTCCTCTTCTGGCTGACACCCCTCTCCTCTCCCAGAATGGGCCCCTAGGTCCCCATCCAAACAGGTTTCCAGGAAGGGATGGCCAAGCTCCTCCTCCAGAGGGATGCATCCTTGGCCTCTCTCAGACATGCAAAGGCTGTAGGAAACAGGAGCCAACGCTTTCAGCCAAAGGGGTCAGGTCCCAGACTTCCAGGGAAAAGGAAGCTAAACACTGGGGGTCAGGGGCCTCCTTCCTGAGGTTACTAGAGCCCCCCCCCCTCCAGGCTGCTGGGTTCTCTGGTGCAAAGTCATTCTTACACCCGGCATCTCCTCTGGTGCTCACAACTCCCCAGACACACGATGACATGATTGTCATCATTTTGTAGGACACTGAGGCTGAGAGAGGAAACCGAGGCCCAGTAGCTGCTAAGTGCAGAGCCAGGATTCCAGCCCAGGTCCGACTTACCCTGAAACCTGTGCTCCACCCACTGGGCAGAACTGCTCCCAGGAGACCAAAGGGTGGGCTGACAAACTGGCTCCTGCAATGGTCCAGGTAAGAGCTGACACCCGCTTCAGTCTCTGAAAGTGTCAGGCATAGGGATGGAGACAAGGGCTCTAGAGCTGATGGCTTACGGTCACCTTCCTACTGGACACTCAATTAGCCAAGTCGTTCTGGGTGGTTCTGTACTCTGCCCCGATCCCATCCGTCCCTACACTTTCCTCTTTCACAACCAGTGTGAACCTGGAGAAACTTGTCTGATCTCACCCTTCTACCAGATTCTCCCTGTAAGACTAAAGTCCAAGTGCCTCCTTGGGCCTCCAAGGTCCATGCCCCTCACTAAGACCCACATTCTCTCGGCCCCGAGTTCACGGCTGCACTGCATCACAGTCTTCTTCCACGGGTGAGGGTGGGGTGGGGTTGGTGACTGGCTCTTGCCAGTGGAATGTGAGTGGACGTGACATGCAGCCTTCCGGGTGGAGACAGTTGACAGAGGGATGCCTTATCCACATGTTCTCTTTCCTCATCTGCTAGCTGGCTATGGGGGATCCAGTGAGGACCCTGGAGGTGGGTGTGATGGAGGTACCTGTGTCCTAACCAGATTGCCCTAACCAGATTGCCCTAACCCTACCCCACGGATACCAATTGAACTGTTGCATGAGCAAGAAATGGACTTCAATCATGTTAAACCACTGTGTGTTAGTCTGGGTTGACTAGAGAAACAAATCCATAGACATTCATATGCGTATAAGAAAAAACCTTTATATACAAAAGCAGTTGAATATTGAGAAAACATCCCAGCTCAGTCCAGATCAAGTCTGATATT